GCCAGTAGCTAAAAACAAGTACCTTTGTCTGATAGATGGTATTAAGAAGATATTTCCCAAGTTTAATTTCAAGCACACTATTGTAATTGCTTGGTTTCTGAAACATAATTGCTGCATAAATTTAGGATCGGATTAGGCAACAAAATGAGTCAAGAAAGGCTTTGGACTATTGGCAATTTATATACAGCAAACAAATGTGTTGTTTTTTCACCTTGAATGTGTTAGAATCTTTTTTTTTTTTGCTGTAACATTATCTGACAATGAATTCTCATTTTCTTTTTATTTCCCACCTTGCATTCTATTAAAAGAAACCATTTTTTATAGTGAGACCTCAAGCTTCTTATTGGTACCAATATAAAATGCCAATGATTTTATGAATGTACATTGAGAACACACACAAATCTGTCAGTTTCTCTTAAAAGGATCCAGAATTTAAAGCACACTAGTCTATTTTCCACAATGCTTCATTACAAAGAATATGACTGCATAGCTGAGGATGTAGTTCAGAGGCAGAACATATTCTCTAATGTGTAAAGCACTGGGTTCGGTCCCCAGAACCCACAATATAAGACATAAAGTATCTGACTTTTTAAATAGTTTGTGCAAACCATACTCTAAGAATACTATTCAGTTTAACTTAGGTACTTTAGCCAAACAGAAAATGTGAAATAAGACAAGATTTTTTAATACCTGCAGATTGAAAACATTTACAAAATTGTTTTAAATGATAAGAAAACTCAATTCGGATACTATTTGTGTCATTTATCAAATATTCTTAATTTTTTGACAGTCTTTACTGACTCTAAAGAATCAAACAACAAAAATAATGGGTGGGCCAGATACTGATAGTATAGTGGGGTGTTTGCCTTGCATGTGGCCGACCTGGGTTCGATCCCCGGCATCCTATATGGTCCCCTAAGCACTGCCAGGAATCATTCCTGAGTGCAGAACCAGGAGTAACTCCTGAGCATCACTGGGTGTGCCCCAAAAAGCAAAAAAAAAAAAAATTAATAATAATAATAAATAAAGTAGCTCAAGAGTGGGGATCTGGAGACAGAAAGGTAAAACAGTAGGGAGGGCACTTGCATCCCACAAGGCACTCCATAAGGGTTGAGCCCCTCCAGGAGTGATCCCAGAGTGCACAACTGGGTGTGGTCAAAATTCAAAAAAGATAAAAAAGAGCAGAGATTTATGGTGGGAAGTACCAACTCAAAAGGTGAGAAAAAACAAAGAGACAAAAAAAATCACCTTAAATTCCTCATGGTTTCAAATTAATGGTGACCTCTGCACCCAGGCCATTGTGTCATTGCTTATTATTTACTTCCCTCCTGTGTCCAATTACATAATATAGATATGGAAGTGCTATTAGGGCCTACTAAAGGGATGGGGACATATTGAATGGTATGACTTTATCACATGATTTTTATTTTTTAATTTTTATTAGTGAGACATCATGAGGTACAGTTACAGACTTACACATTTTTGTGCTTGGGTTTCAATTATACAATGATCAAATACCCATCCCTCCACCAGTGCCCATTCTCCACCACCAATGATCCCAGTATCCCTCCCACCCCTATCCCCCTCATTCCTCCCTGCCTCTGTGGCAGGGCATTCCCTTTTGTTCTCTCTCTCCTATTGGGTGATTGTGGTTTGCAAAAGAGGCAATGGGTGACAATCATGTCTGGTCTATAGTCTACTTTCAGCAGTCACATGATTTTTAAAGAAATGGCATTTTTTAAGTTCTGAAACTGCCCATTCTCTTCCACATCTCCAAAACCTCACCCTGTTCTTTTATTATCTATTTCCAATCAATGGACAAGAGATCCAATTATCAGATACTTTTATTATCTTATCTGTAAAAGGAAGAGGAGACAGTTATTCATCTTACTAAAACAAATCCATTAGTTTCAGATGGAATTTTCTCTTCATTTCACCATTTTTACAGCTGCAGATGTACAAAGGAATTATCCATAATCGTAAGAATGTCAAGTCTTATAATAGAACAAGTAATATAAATTTTTGAGTGGAATATTAAGTATTCACCTTTATACCAGCTCGCAGTTAAAAATGTAGGGCCCCACAATTTAAAAAAACCATTAAGGTGGGTAGTAAAAATGGTCAACGTTTCTCTCTTCCAAATAAGACAAATGAATTCCTCCTCTTAAACCCCTAAAAGAGACGTAGTTTGCAAAACACAGTTGAAAACCAAGAGAAACCAGATACAATTTAAATGGCTAGAGTTACAGTTCTCTGCTCCCTCTCAGCCCTCTAATCTTCACTCTTCTCAAATAAACTCCCAGAAATTCCAGAATGAATGACAAGAAATTGGGAGTATATCTACCTGAAATCTATCACGGTCACGGTCTTCCCGTTGTTCATCGATTTGCTTGAGTGGGTCCATTAATGTCTCCATTGTGAGACTTGTTACTGTGTTTGGCATATTGAATACGTCATGGGTAGCTTGCCAGGCTTTGCCATGCTGGCGAGATACTCTCGGTAGCTTGCTGGGCTCTCCAAGAGGGGTGGAGGAATCGAACCTGGCTCAGTCGGGCCGGCTGCATGCAAGGCAAATGCTACCGCTGTGCTATCACTTCAGCCCCATGTGAAATCTATATGAACTAAAAATACTTATTTAATTGCACTTAGCAAACTGAAAATCTGTAATAACCTTGTAAATGTAGTAATTACTTCCCAATATTGTTTGTAGTATTATAATTATTTCACTGAGATGTCACACTTATTTTGGGGGCTGGGGGGCCACACTTGGTGGTGCTCAGGGATGTTCCTGGAGGCATTCGAGGGATCAAACCGGGATGCCAGGATCAAACTGGAGTTGGCTGCATATCAGAAAAGGGCCTTAACTACTGCACTAACTCCCAACCCCGGTTTCAGATATGTATTCTGACTTCAGCTTTCTAGATCTTTATCTACTGAGTTGAAATCCTCTTATAAAATGCAAGAGTGCACATTTTTAAATAACCTTTGCAAAGTTTGGGCAATTATTATAGGTAATATTCTAGGCACCCTGACACTTCTAAACACCTGAATCAAATATAAATTGGAGTTAAGTATATAGCAACTTAGAGGGAGTTCAAATGCTACCATCCGTCACTTTCTGTAAACACCACTTACTGTCAAGCTACCCAGTTCTTAGGGCCCAGAGGTTGAAAAATAGAAATTTCTAAGTGTTCTCAAGTGATTCTAACAGCTTACTGATACCAGAATTGGATGGCAATATCATACTCACATATTTTGTGGGTGGAAAATCTCCCTGAGGGATGCTGAAAACCACCAGGGCTATCCCTAGTGATGCTCAGTAAGTAACACAGTGTTACACTGATGTAAGGTCAGGCTTTTTCGGTTATATACTCAGACCACTCCATGTTTTGCAAAGTGTTTTGTGTTTTAGGGCTTTTGATCTCATGTTCTTATGGCCACAATAAAATGTGCTTGTCTTATTTCTGGCTTCAGACCATACACTCTCTGTTAGCCCGAATCGCAATTATATTCTATTAGTGTGAAAATCAATGAGCATAAATTACAACATATGATGGTAACTTCTAGAAAGAAGTTACAAAAGCATATCGAGAAATAACACAAATGCAACATCAAGGAGTATCAGAATAGGAGCATCTCAACTTGTTCACTTGCAACATCTCAATTCATGGCAAGGTGAAAAGGATCTGAGAGATGCATGATCAGAACCTATAGGTTGGTAATGGTCTGCAGACAGGCCCACGGGAGGGTAGGAGGCTCCCAGGCAGTGCTCAGGGCACCCTTCCCAAGCTTCAGCAAACGGACCATGGTTGGATTTATGAGCCCGAAGATACTAGGGATTACCCAGGCTCCCCCAGTAATGCCTGGGGACCATGTGGTGCTGGGCACTGTATGAGGGGTCAGCAGCACACAGGTATGTGCCTCAGTCCTGTGCTATCTCCATAAAGGTAAAGGTAAAGGCCCTCCCGTTGATCGTCGATTTGCTCGAGCGGGCCCAGTAACGTCTCCATTGGAGACTTTGTTGTTACTGTGTCTGGCAAATCGAATACTCTCGGTAGCTTGCCGGGCTCTCCGAGAGGGGCGGAGGAATCGAACTCGGGTCGGCCATGTTGGCCGCTTGTAAGGCGAACGCCCTACCCGCTGTGCTATCGCTCCAGCCTGCTATCTCCATGGTGCCACAAAATTATTTTCCAGCACTGTCAAGAAATCAAAGATCTGGAGGCAGCAATTTAGGAGAAAGTGTGGATTAAAAGTATGAATTACGCTTGGCTTGCAACCTCGTTGAGCAGACTGACTTCACTGGAACGCTCTGGTTCCCCTGCATTAGTACGTGTGAACCAGCTGATGCTACTTCTGAAGTCTTCTATCTCAGAAGATCTGAATTTGCTTTATATTTACATTTCACTATGTAAAAGTTATTCTGGTCATTTAATTAAAAACAGTAAACTCAGTCATTCAAGATATACTTAAGGCCAGCGAGATAGTACAGTGGGCAAGGCCTTACACAGGGGTGCCTTACATGAGGCAGACCCCAGTTTGATGCCCAGCACCACATGATTCCCCAAGGACCACCACCAAAGATCCCTGAGCACAAGGCCAGGAAGGAGTATGCCCTGAGCACTGGTAGGTTTAGTTCCAAAATCACAGTGAAAGCAAACAAAAATCACCTTAGAAAACACCTAATCAAGTTAGGCATGAGGAAAACAGTTTCTCTCTTTGTATGAGGTTAAATATTTGTTTCGGTAAGCAACATTTTACTCGCAACCAATTCTTATATCCTCTTAAATGGTTAAATAGTAAAATCCTACTAAATAGAACACCAATAATAAAAACTTGTACTGTTAATGGGAAGTTTGCCTATGAATAATTAATATGTATTAACTTTATTGGAACTGTAACTTTTACAATGTTAAGACTTTTCCTCTCTGTACCCTTTCCTTATAAAAAAACAAACAAAAAAACAGTAATACCAGAGTGCAAACTTGGACGAAGTACATGCTCTGTATGTGGGAGACCTGGGTTCGAGCCCCTAGCACCTGGTTCTCCAAGTACCTTCAGAAGTGACCCCCTAGCACAGACACAGAAGTAACCCTTGAGTGCTGCCATATGTAGTTCCCAGTCAAAGCAAACAAAAATAGGGCATTTATATTCATGGACAAATCACATTTATTATCAAAATAATTTTCCAAAGTGTAAGTTTATAAAAATAAGTTTATTTGACTGTACATAGGATGCTGATATATTGTCACCCTACTTTAGAATGCCAAGAAGACAGTCAACGGACAGTATGTTTAAGAAGATATTATGTTTAACCCATGATAAAAGTTGCTCAATATCTTTGTATTATACCAATATATATTATTTCATCGAGGAGGGATGATTCACAGTTTTAAATATTACATAGTGGGATCTTTCCCTCTAGGAATTTAAAGTGAGATTTTTGTACAGATACAATTTCACAAATGTAACAAATATATACCAGTTTACATCTGAAGGAGTCTACCGTTCAGTCTTTTAAAAATCTAGCTCCATAATTCCTTTCTTAAAATAGAAAAAACAAAACAAAACAAGAAAAACCCTGTCCCAAATAATATAAAAAGCCTACATTTCTCTAGAAATGTATATATATACCTAATAGTAAGGCCCAAAATGACAATTGCTCTCCCCAGCAGATGGAGGCGGAGGCAGGGGTGGAGGGGGAGGCGGCGGGGGCAAGGAGTAAGGTAAGGGGAGTAGTGGATGGGTGGCCAGGTTAGGTGCCGGCCACACCATGTTTCCAGATGCAGGCGGGAAAGGGGGTGGGGGAGGGGGCGGTGGGGGGAAGGGAAACCTGTGCAGGTCAAACACAGGCAGGGGGAAGGGGTATTGTGGCAGAATGGGGTTCTCTTGACTCGGATTTGCAAACCCGGAAGTGTCCTGAGATACCATCTGCTCCGAGCTGTAAAACTGTTGAGTTGGGGGCCTGCCGTGGCAAGGTTGAGGGTATCTACCCTGGAAAAATCCTTGTGTGAAGTCTCGGTTGTGAAATCCTTTGGGGTGCTCTGCAGGCGAGCCACGAGCGTTCAAGTTCTGATGGACTTCTGAGTTGTCTTCACCTATGGCGGCAGGAGGGGGAAGGAGGTTGGGGGAGGATAGAGAGGAAATGCATTTAATACATCTAAAACTTTTGCTGCAAATTTCTATGATGACTATTTTTCAGCCTGAGTATAACTTATGACAGTTTAAAAAAAAAGTAAATGGCTAAAATTACTGCTTTTAAATGAATGAAACAGGCCACAGGATCAGGAAAGAGAAACCCATAATGGACAGAAAACTTCTAGACAGTAAACCACTGAACTCCTGCCAAACCGTTGACAGGGAAAAACAAGCACCATTCCAACTTCTCTAGAAAGCCGAGTAGGGGACCAGGAATTCCTCCCCTGACGGCAGTGATGAGCTGCCTCAGGCTAGTGTCAGAGCAGGTGGAACACAGAGTTAGCCACAAGGTGTTGCCACATGGGAAATCTCAACTTCTACTTCCACAGGGAAAGCTATTCCCCTCCGACAGTGACAGCGACCGTGACGGCGGGCGACACTGAGAGGCGCCCTAGGAGAGAGCCAGTACTTCATCTGTGCCCTCAGGTAAGGAGGCAGCATGCTTGTCGGGACAGCACTGACCTGGCAGTCTAAGCCTAGTGGCTTCAGCTACACAAAGGAGTCAAAAGCATTAGTGGAGGAAGGGAAAGACTCACCAGCAAACTGGTGACAAAATAACTTAGGAACATTCAAGGAGGAAATATGGACAAAGAAGCTGGGTGCAAGAAGCCTCTTCAACAAACAGTGAGGGAAAACTGAGTCCAAAGCTCACAACATCCATGAAATTTCATTCCAGTAGTGATCTAGAGATTAGACCAAAAACCATATAATATATTGAGGAAAACACAGGCAGAAATCTCCATGATGTGAACTTTTATGGTCATTCCACTGGTAGAGATAAAATGTGAATAAATAAGCAAGTAGGGCTTTCAAAAGTTAAAAAGCTCTTGCCTGGTAAAAGAAACATGAACTAAAATAAAAATATCCAACCGACTGGGAGAAGATCTTTCTCAACACAACAAATAAAGATCAAATACATCAAACAATTATCATTCAAAATCTATAAAGTGCTCTCAAAGATCAGCAACAGAAAAATCAGGAACTCTCATCAAAAGAGGGGGAAAAAGACAGAGACTTCCATGAAGAGGGCATATGCATGGCCAATAAGCATGTGGAAACTTGCTCTTCATCACTAGTATCAAGGAAACAAATCAAAAGGCAACAAGATGTCACCTCACACCAATGAGGATACATACTGGAAATAACCAGCATTTGCAGAGCTTGGCAAAAAAGAAACCCTCGTTCACCAATGCTGGAATGCCAACGGGTAGAGTCTCTAGGAAAAAATGTGGACTCAAAAATTAACAGGGGAGCTTCCATATGACTCAGCTACCCTATTTCTAAGCATTTAACCCCCCAAACAAAACCAACAAAAATCAATTTAAAAGACTGTTGATTTCAGGGATGGAGAGATAGCACAGCGGGTAGGGCATTTGCCTTGCACGCAGCTGACCTGGGTTCGATTCCCAGCATCCCATATGGTCCCCTGAGCACCGCCAGGAGTAACTCCTGAGTGCAGGCCAGGAGGAACCCCTGTGCATCACTAGGTCTGACCCAAAAAGCAAAATAAATAAATAAATAAATAACTGTTGATTTCATAAGGCACACTATGTTCATTCTGCAGCATTTGGTATACTAGCCAGGATATGGAAACAACCCAAAAGTCCAACAACAAATGAATGAAGAGTAAGTTGTGGTACATATACTTAATAAAATACTATGCAGCCACAAGAGGGTGGGAGGGAAAATGTAGAATACTTGCATGGAGCATACTGCGTTGACTGAAATAAGTCAGAATCAGAAGGGCAAATATCAGATGATCTCACTCATGTGCAGGGTATACAGGGAAACAAATCAAGGGTATGGACAATCACAACTAATCATCAACCCTGAGCACCGGATTATAGAACTGAGAATACCAGCTGGTGCTGAGGGGTCAGGGGAATGCTAGTGACTAAAAGTAGCACAAGAGCATACACATAGGGTGTAGGGCATGGTGCTGGTGGTAAAGTGAGGTATAACCCAAAACTCTGCCAATCAACAAATAGCTGGGGGGTAGCTGGAGGAAGAGAGAAATATCGGAGCAGAGTGCAACAGTCATGGGCACTTGGGTAGAAGTGATGTGCAATAACTATCTATCCATTAGTACTAAAAAGTTGAGCAATTACTGAACAAAAAAATAAAAGTAAAAGAAAATGGGTTGCTATCTCATACTATACATAAGTGAACTCAAAATACATTAAAGATCTAGCGAATCCAAAAGATACATGGGAGAAAAGATAGGCTGAACCCTCTATTATTCTCACTTTTAAGGTGTTTCCCAGAACTGCATCAAACTAAAGTTTCTTGTACTCAAAAATGCAAATCAAAAAGACAATTGAGGCATAACTTTACCAGATGAATGTTCTACGTCCAAACAGCCAGGACCAACAAGAGCGGGTAGGGATCCAGGGGGGAAAAGGAGTTTTCATTCACCACTGAGATTATAAACTAGTATAATCTCAAACAGTATCAAAAATTGTCAAGACGTTAATGATAGAACCATTATATGACCCAATATTCCACATCTTGTATCTACCCGAAGACTATGAGTAATCAGAAAAGGTACTTGTGTAACTGCGTAGACTGCAATGTTATTTACTACAACCAGCCAAAAAGAGGAGGTAAACTGCGGGAGGCCAATGACAGAATTCAGTGACAGGGCCCTTGCCTTGCACACAGCCAATCTAGGTTTGATCCCAGACACTCCATATAGTCCCTGGGTACCCCAGGAGTGATCCCTGTGCCCAGAACCAGGAGGAAGTTCTAACAAGCAAAACAAAACCCCTAAAAAAGAAATAAACAAACAAAAAACCCACAAATCTTAGACTGACTGCAGAGATGGTTTCAAGAGCTGGAATGTTAGCTCGCATGTGTGAAGGTTCTGATCCCTGGAACTGTAGAATCCCCTACCCCGAGCTGCTAGATGCAGCCCTGGTGGCCCACAGCATGCCCAGAACCCCAGAAGCAAGCATGATTGCGAGTGGCCCTAAGGCACTCCCAAACATTCCTCAGCAGGCCCCCAAAGTGAGGAAAAAAAAACTATGACCAATAGACTTTGTGAACATAAATGCAAAGGCCTTGTCAAAATAACAAGAGAATTCAGTTATATAAAAAACAAGCTTCACACTGTCACCAATTTGATTCATTCCACAGATATAAGGCTTATTCAATATTCTAAAACCAATGTAATCTACCCTATCAACAAACTCATAAAAACCATCTGATATTAAATAAAAAACATTAAAGCAATAATTCATCACTTAAAAGATTATACTTATCTTAAACTATAAACAGATAGGAATGTCCTCAACCAGACAAAAACTCTTATAAAAATGTATGCCTAATGGTAAAAGATGGCTTTCCCACACTGTCGGGAACAAACTACATTTACTGAATATAGTAGTTGAAATTATAACCAAAAAGAACGGGAGATTAAAAAGTCATCTAGACAGGAGGGGATGACTCATGGGGCCGGATAGGGGAGGAATAACACTGTCTTTAACTGTAATTAATGTAAGTGTCTAAGTACAAAATATTAGGGGAAAAACTCCTAGAATTCTAGTATCAGGGGAAAACAATCCTAGAACTATAGAGTTCAGCAAAATCTGAAGATCGAAACTAAGCACAGAAACATACATCTATCTCTATATTCTACCTCTGCATTCTAAAAATGAATGCAGAGACTTGGAATTGTAAATGTAGCATGATGTAAGAATGATTTTTTAGGATGAAATAATTAGATGTATAGCTAAAAAAAACTTGAAGGGCTGGTATACTGCAAACTACAAAATGCTTCTCAAAGAAATAAAAGCACTAAATTAGTGGCACTAGATACCACGCCTGTGAAGACTCAATATAGCTAAGATGCTAGTTATCTCCATATCAAACCGAATAAAGGCTTTTGGTTTGGGCTACACCCAAGGTGTTCAGGAAGTTACTTGCACAAATACTTTTGGTACCATGTGGTGCCAGGGAGAAATGCAGAGATTAGGGCTGAGAGAGAGAGTACAGTGTGTAAGGAGCTTGCCTTGCAGTCAACCCAGATTCAAACCCCAGTACCCCATATGGTTCCCTGACCCTCACCAGGAGTGATCACTGAATGCAGAACAGAGTAAGCCCTGAGCACTGCCAGGTATAGCACAAAAAGCAAGCATAAAATATATAACTTACTAAAAAATATATGTTATTAAAAATAAATAAAAGTAGACGTCAAGCCTGGGCTCCAGCATACAAAGCACATCCTGCACTCACCTGAGCTATCCTCCCAGCACCATAAAACACAAGGTTTAAGGCAATTCCTAAGAAAATTCAACAAGATTTTGTCAGTAAGATAAAGACTATTCTTAAAATATGAATAGGGAATTAGAGTAGCAAAATGGTTTTGAAAGCTTTAGAAAAAGAGAAGGGCAATCTTTGGGATGTAGACCTCGCCAAGAAATTCTCAGACTTCATCAAAGGAAAACTGATTTGGCTTTTGCAAAAGGCTCTCTTAACAGTATGAAAATATAAGCTACATACTGGAATAAATTATATGCACGCTCACATAATTCAAGAGGGAAAAAATAGAAATACAGTTAAGAAATGGGCATTTTTGTGCTTAGTGTGAGATCCACTGTCATTGCTTATGACTATTCAGTTTCCTGAGCACCCTCTGTTGAAGACTTTCCTTTCTCCATGTAATGCTCTTGACTCCTGTGTGATACTCTTAACTATCCATATCTGCAAGGAAAAGTGAGCTCTCAACTCCTTCACTTGTCTGAGAATGCATTCATTCGAACCCCTCACTGTTTAGGCTTCTACTGCCCATGGGATGCCTCCGTGGTTTCAGTCTTTTCACACCTGCCGACCAAAGCCAGTCTCTGAGACTATTACGGTTGAAAACCGCTGCCTGGCAGAGGCTGTGGTGGAATGTTTTAGGTATGAAACCCTATCAATAGCAGTTTTGTAAACCAAGGTGCCTGAAACAAAAATGTAAAAGTAAATATAAGAAAATAAATGAACTTGAGTAAGATAGGGAGAAGGGAAAAGGCCTGGTGAATGAGTTCTGCATGTGGGGGCCCTGGGTTTGAATCCTGACACCATATGCGCTGGCAAACATCACCAGTGAGGCACCAAAACAAAAACAAAGACTAATAAACTGAAAAAGAGAGTCTAGTGGTTCTCACACTATTTATATCTGCAGACTGGCACCAGCTGAAAATCACTGACTAGGAAAAGCTGGCTAAAGCCTGCCATCTTCTTACTCATGACTGCTTTAGTTATTTGGGGTCAGTTTTATGATGTTATTCCATAAGTATGATTTACTGAATTTTTATATATAAATTTGTACCATTTCCCTGAAGAATGCCATTTGAATTCTGACAGTAATTATACCAGATCTCTACAATGCTTTAGGTAGGATGATGCTCTAGGTTTTAACAATGATCAATCTTCAGAGCTACAAGTATGGAATATTGAGTTTTGCCAAACCAATAGCACAAAGCATCTTCTATTTGCCATCTTAAATATTCAGCTCCTTTGTCATAAATTAACTCAATAAACAAAGAGGACTTATTTCTGGGCTCAATTCTACACCATTCACCTGAATAGTCGTAACATTTATTCATAACCCAAAGCCACAGCAGCTTTACTACATACTACTATTTTGTAATCTAGTTGGAAGCTGAGAATCATGATGCCTCCATTTCACCGCTTTAAGCTCTGGCTACTTCAAGTTGCCTGCACTTCCATATAAAGTTCAGGTAGAAATAAACAACCACATAAAACTGAAAAGCTGTGCATGGCTACCCCTAAAACAAAGACATTCTCCCAAATGAGAAAAAATATTCTCATACCATACACCTGGCAAAGGGTTAATATCAATGAGGCATAAAGAACTTACAGAATTTAACAACAGAGTAACAACTTCATCCAAAACTGGGAAAACAAGAAGACTAAACAATTCACCAAGGAAGATTCACAAATGGCCAACGGGTACATACAAAAATGCTCACTTATCACTATATAAATAAGAAGATGCCTATAAAAACTATAACGAGGGCGCAGAAGGCACAGTACAGCAGGTAAGGTGCTTGCCTTACACACAGTTGACCAAGGTTCAATCTCTAGCACCCCATAAGGTCCCAACCCCCTCCAGCAGTGATCCTTCAGCACCACGGAGTGAAGCTCCAAAACCAGAGAGGGAGTTAAAAAAAAAAAAAAAGACTCATCTTTTGGGGTCATAGTACAGCAGGCAAGGCAGACAACTGCCTTTCCTATAGCTAACCAGTTTCGAACCCTGGCAGACCACAGGGTTTTCAAAGCCTTGCCAGGAGTGATTCCTGAGCACTGCCAGATACAGCCCCAAAACAAAACTCCCAGGGGCCATAGAGATAATGCAGTGGGTAGGGCTTGCCTTACACATGGCCAACCTGAGTTGGATCACTGGCCCCCCATATGGTTCCCCGAGCCTTGCCGGAAGTGATCCATGAGTGCAGAGAGAAAAATAAGTCCTAAGCACCACTGGGTGTGACCTCCAAACAACAAACACAAAACAATAACCAACAAAACAACACCCAACTACAATGAGGTAACAACTTATGCTTTGATAATCACCAACATTAAAAAAAAAATACTAAGTAGCATATAGAACAAAGGGAAATCTCATATACGGCAGGAATAGAAACTGCTCCAGTGTCTGGAAAACAGTACACAAGTATCTCAACATATTAAAAATGAAAAAATGGATCTGGCACATGATCAAACAACTGTATTGCTGAGGACCTAACCAGGGAACACAAAAGCATTAATCCTAAAAGATTGATGCACATTTATATTTACTGCAATGCAAGGGCACTAAAAAGGAGGAGGAGATTTCCCAGGGCAGTGGTACATCAGGGAGAAGAACACTGGTATCTAGGTGGCAGGCATAACATACTTTGTTTCACTTGAGGGCCACACCTATCTCTGCTCAGGAGTCACTCCTGGTGATGCTCTCAGGAGGCTACAGGCAGTGCCCAAGTTTGAACAAATGTTTGGTCACAGTACATTAACCTTTGTACTGTCTCCCAGGCACAAGAATCTATATTCACATAACAAGAAGCAATACTCCTAAAATAGTTTCATCAACCAACATAGGCTAAGTACTTTTTTTTCTATTTTAATTTAAAAACTCAACTATAATATCTAATTTGTTGTGTTCTATTTACTCACCTGATTCATTAAATTCCGTTCTGAATTTTTTCCTGCCTTGAACCTGAGATTTTTTCCTTTGTTTGGCTTCTTTCTCCTTTTCATCGTCACTAAAGTCTAAGGCCTTGCAGGGGGAAAGAAAACAAAGGTTTATGTCTCATGAATTTTCTAATTCAACAGTATATGTAGGTGGAGTGTGGGTAGAATAAGTATTATTTAACACTAACCTTGAAAATAAGCTACCTATTTCAATACTTAATATATTCCACTGACATCTGAGATATTAGAAGCATTTTCTGATAAATACCTCTAATGATTGGATCAATACAAGAGAATTATCTTGATTAGTAATCAAGATAAGCACTCAGGATTTTTGTCCATTTCTTTTTTAATTTATGGGAAAATTTCAGGTAAGTTATTTTAAAATGACAGTTTTAACAGTCTTCAAATATGAATATTCCCTAGTTAAGTGTCTCATTCCCAGTTTAAGTCAAGTTTTATCATGGTGCAGATACTGAAAAAAAATGCTTAAAGTTGGAACTAAGTAAAAAAGTAAATTATCAGATCTAATCCAGATATGGGCTGGAGTGATAGCATAGAGGGTAGGGCGTTTGTCTTGCACGCAGCCAACCCAGGTTCAATTCCTCCATCCCTCTCGGAGAGCCCAGCAAGCTACCGAGAGTATCCCACCAGCACCCCAAGCCTGGCAAGCTCCCCGTGGCATATTCGATATGCAAAAAACAGTAACAAGTCTCACAATAGAGACATTACTGGTGCCCATGTGAGCAAATCAGTGAACAATGGGAGGACAGTGCTACAGTGCTACAATACAGATATAAAATTTGTACTCTTCATTCAAACATACTTGTTAAATATTATATAGTATATCAATATATAGTATATCAAATATCTTGATATTTCAGATAGTTGGGTATTTAACAGATATTCAATTCTTTTAATAATAAAATAACAAATACAGTAAGCACTGTAATTTTTTTAAGGCAAAAAATGTAGATAATATTTAGGTAAAATTGAAAAAAAAAGCAGCTTTCATAAACATCTTCTATATACAAGATTCAATTGCTAAGAGCAAATCTAAATTACAAGAGGGAAGATCCACATGTAACAAGAGCCGCGATTCACTGCAATAACCCATCATAAAACTAAAACTAGTGGGGGAGGGGAGTGTGCATAAGCGCATACGAACACACAATTTCTCATAAGTCAAGCATGAAAACATTCTATTACCATCAAGTTAAATGTTATTTTCATAGAAAGCATATAAGAATAGGCCCAAGTATATGCACAAGAAGGAATAAAACATGTTGGACATTCTACACGTGGAATTTTTAATACAGTCTTGATGAAAGATATTCTAGTTTAATTCTTCCAGTCAACTTTTAAAGCACCAACATATTTTAGAGTTTTCAAAAACATAATATTTATCATTCATCTTCACACAATAAGATTTTAAAATTCCTGTTAAATCTGTTAACTGCCAGACGTCTATTAGGAAGTACTGAGGCAAAACAGAAAACTTTCTTTTCTCTAAAGTATTCAGTAAATGGAACACAAATAACTAAATCTATAAACAAGTGCTATGAGTTAGTGCTAAGAGTGTCAGGCTGAAGAAAAGAAACCAGGGCAAGATTTCTTGATCTAGAAAAAGAAATAAAATTATTAGGCACATTTTAAAGCTCATACAAATTTTTCTATTCGTACAAATTCATATTGCTTTCAATAAATGTACACTGTTATAGCTTCGCCCCTTCCCCCAACTTTGTGTTCCACACCCAGCCAGGGGGGCTCAAGTCTTCCTTCTGGCTCTGAGCTCAGGGATCACTCCTCAGGAGTGGGAGAGATGAAACCAGGGCTGGCCACACCCAAGGTAAATGTCCAACCAACCTGTTCCATGCTCCTATGTTTTAAGAGCTTGAAAATAAGCTGAAATATGTACATGAAAAGTTAAAGTAAATGCTCTGTAAAGCATTTCTCTACCACATCTTTGGAAGACTTTTATCAAGCTACTTTGGAATATAAAAGTAGTCCTGCTGGTATGGATTCATAAAAATATTTCAAAACTGCACTTTTTTGGAAGAAAATATTGTAGAAAATACAGAGATAGGTAAAACCCTGTGATGCTGCTTTGTCTCATGTCTTCAGATCACGAAAGATAAGTCTCCTAAGTTGAAAAACAAAATATTTATAAAATTAGGTCTTTAGATGTGTCAACTAAGTTGGTTTAAAAAACTGGGAGGGCTGGAGTGATAGCACAGCAGGTTAGGGGGTTTGCCTTGCACGCGGCCGACCCGGGTTCGATTCCCAGCATCCCATATGGTCCCCTGAGCCTGCAAGAGTAATTCCTGAGTGAAGAGCCAGGAGTAACCCCTGTGCATCGCTGGGTGTGACCCAAAAAGCAAAGAAAATAAAAAACTGGGAAATTACAAAGAAAATAGGGTGATTAAAATATGATGGAAATTATTTTTCTATCACAAAGATAGAACATCATTTTTCTATCACAAAGTGTCATGGAAAAACAATTCACTAACAGATGAATGGTATTTAATGTTCCATTTATGGTGTATGTGTACATGGTATGTGTGAATACACACAAACACATTCATTATTGCGATTAATTGTGCTCTGATAATAGAATACAGATGATATTCTCATAAAATAACATCAAAAAAAAGTTCAAGAAATACAATAATTTTCTAAGCGAGTTGGAGGAGAGTTCATAGGCTTGGTACTCTATGAAATAGTATTAAGAACAACCTTAAGGTTAAGTATAATTATAAGATTAAGTCCTGCAGTCCTATCTACAGTATTGTCTAACAAAGCTTAACCATACCTCTGGTGGTGGCTCCTGATCATTCTTCCACGATGCATCTGATCCTCTATCCCTAAGGAAAAAAAGATATATACATGCAGCCACTGAGATACACACTTAACAACAGTTTTTCATTTCGAATTCTTCAGATACAATGGAAGGGCTGCAAAGATAGTATAATAGGGACGGTGGTTATCTTGTAGGGACAGACCTGGATTAGACCACAAGCACCCCTCATGGTCCTCAGAACACTGCCACAAGTGGTCCCTGAGCACAGAAACAGGACTCAGCCCTGAGCATAGTTGGATAGGCCTCCAAAACCAAAGAGACACAAGGTATGCTAGCTTACTGTTTACTAGAGCTGCATACAAAACCTTCCAGGGACACATTTTAGTCCCTTCTATAAACTTACTAGCAAACAACCAACCTAAAACTTATTTTCTCTGTTATCTTGAGAATTATAAATTTTTATTAAACTGCTAAGCCTATGAGTGTAGTAATCCAAAGAAAAAGCAATGAAAGTCAACAGAGAAAATTTATAATCTCAAATGTGCTATTAGTTGATCATGTCATATTTAGAGAAAAGGTACAAATGATTTCTACCTATAAAATGTAAGAACAAATTTTAGCTTTCAGAGATATTTTATTACAAAAATAAATTATTTGGAAGAGAAATGCCATTTAACTATAATAACTACCACCACAAAATTCTTAAGTATAAATATTAGAGGAAATAAAAAGGTCAATAAAGTACTTACTGTTTAAGTTTTTCTGTGAATATATATTGAGTAAAATCTTTTGTTGATGGAGCAAAATACATAGTATCCTTTATTTTTATACCTTTACTCTCAATGTGCTCTGAAGAGTTAAACCGTAACACATAAAATGGATGTGCAACAGGACCAAATATCTCGAATATCTATAAAATAAAACATAAAGGCCTCTTAACATGTAAAACTGTTTGAAATGCATTAAGAAATATGGCAATTGTTTTAAAAGAACATTTTTTCAAGGTCAAACCAGTAAAGTTATTTATATTTAAGCAGTTTTTCACACTTATGTTCTTCTTATTATGAAAGAACTGGGTTATTCCAGACCACCTTTTTATGTATTTAAAATAACAAGTTTGGTTCCTTGCTAAAATTCTAATCATCTGAGGTATCAGTTATTCAAATTATGAAGCTTTGTTTTTACTAGTCATCATTAAAGTTTTATGATGTGAAGAATTAAAATTGGTAACTTTTGAGAAATAAAATGCTGTATTTCACTTAGAATCATGACAATTTTCTTTCAGTTTCTACTTCAATGGGTATTAGATCATTTCTGATATTTCCATTAAGTAGGTAACACTTTAATAAAATTAAATTTCAAGAGTAGATTTTTAACTTCAGGTTACTTATTTCTCAAAAATGAAAGATACCAGTCTTTAACTTTGAAGTGAAAGAAGTGATGTTAGGACACATAATTTCTAATAGTTTTAGTCATACTTCTCAAACTACATACCTAAATATTTAAAAACAATTTCTCTGATAACAAACATGCATATGGTGGGAACAGGATGAACAAATCAGCACGTTTTCCCAGTCTTTCCTGTTACTAAACATTCTCCTTCTCCTCAACACTGCACACAGTCTGAGACCGCTCGCCTCCATTCCTCCCAGGTCAGTGCTCGGATCTACCAGGGAACGTGATGCTGCCCACACAGGCCCAGCAGGGGGAGCTGCGGCTGCCAGAGCCCCCCTTAGGGGTGCTCCAGAACTGAACCTGGGCACCAAGTACCTCTGCTCTCAGACACTGCATTGCTCCCGCTGAAAACCTGAAGGGAGGGAGGGACTGAGGAGGAGAGGAGAGAGAGAGGAAGAAGGGGAGAGAAACGGAAAGGGAGAAGGAGAGGGACGGAGAGGAAGGAGGAGAGGAAGAGAGAGAGAGCGAGAGAGAGACAGAGACAGAGACAGAAACAGACAGAGACAGAGAAGAAAAGCACCTGCCACAGAGGCAGGCTGAGGGTGGGGTGAAAGTGATGGGATGGAAACTGGGGACACTGGTGCTGGGAAATGTACAGTGATGAAGGGATGGGGGTTGGAACACTGACTGAAGCCCAATGATGAACAGCTTTGTAAAGATATACCTCTCAGCGATTCAACAAAAACAAAACAAAACAAAAAATAAAAAAAGAGAAAGAGAAAAGAAAAAAAGAAAAAAGAATGCCCTTTTCTAGATCTACTCGGGTTTATTTCCAGACAGGGCCCTTCAGTGTCATCCGGGAATAAGCTAAAGGCTGCACACTCGCTGCAGACGCATTTTCAACCACCCAGCCAGCGGCAGCCCCACTGGCAAAGTCTGAAGGACTGTCTGAAGAACTGTCGCAGCACCAGGTCTGAGCTGGCACCATCACACTTGCCAGGCAAGGGAGCTTTAAGCCACTGAGCCATCAACCGGGACCCTGCACATTTCATTTACTTGTCTTAGGTTCTAGTTCATTTCACTCAATGAAAATGATACCATGATAACATCTATATATATTCTCCACGAAAACTGATTTGGAAAGGACGGAATTATTGAATCCAAGATGATGATACATAATACTATTATGATCACTGCAAATCACAAAGTAACTTTGCAAATAGCTTGGTCAGCATAAACAGAATCAAAAGTGTTTGTTTTATCACATCCTCAGCTGCTGACTTGTTAGAGTAAATGTTCTCATTTTAACATCTCTTATATTCCATTTGCTCTGGAGATTTGATTACGTTAAAACAATGGTCAAGGGGGGTATGGTGCCGCCAGCAGGTCAATCGTACCTGTGAGGCGAGTACATCAGCAGCCTGATGGCGCCTTCAGACTTCCAGATACCCCAAAATTGCTGCTGTGCCTTTGGCCAGACCCCAAAAACTTGGGGCAAAGTTTACCAAGAAAGTCACATGGCCAAAAGTTAGGTATGTGGTAAACACACCCACAAACCAATTATCCGGCTCAGCTACATAATTGGAGGCATGGCCTCTCTGGTTCCTGACTGAACTGCTTAATGGCCATGATCCCAGACACTCAGAAACAAATCTCGAAACTCAGCGGCTTTTGGCAGAAAGGCGTCTGGTCCCTGCAGTAGGTTACCGGTGCTGGGCCAATCCAGGTGGGAATAGGTTTCGTGCCTTGGCCTATTACTTCTGGCGGCCCGGTGGCCGCCATCCTCCAGAGGGCACTAGACAGTCAGGTTTGGGCCCACAGTAACGAGACACGCAGGGCCTCATGGGATGGGGGTGGAGCCGGTCCTGTCCTCCCCGTCCCAACAGACCCCAAGTCATCACCCACAAGCGGCCTCTCTGGCTCCTGATCAAGCTGCTTAATGGCCATGATCCCAGAGACTCAGAAACAAATCTCGAAACCCGGCGGCTTTTGGCAGAAATGTGTCCGGACCACGCAGTTGGTTACTGTCGCCAGACCACTCCAGGGGGTAAAGGGTGTTGTCCCTCTGCCTGCTTCCCCTTGGCGGCTCGGTCATCCTCCAGAGGCCATTGAACAGTCAGGTTTGGGCCCACAGTGACAAGACATGTTGGGCCTCATGGGATGGAGGTGGAGCTGGTCCTGTCCTCCCCACCACAACGAGACCCCAAGTCATTGACCACAAACAGCCTTTCTGGCTCCTGATCAAGCAGCTTAACGGTCATGATCCCAGAGACTCAGGAGCAAATCTCAGAACCCAGCAGGTTTTGGCAGAAATCCCTCCAGATTTAAGTGTTAAAATTTCAGAATTTCAAAATCACGCAGTCACTACTGCAGCCACGCGACATCATATGTTATTCATAACCAGCAATAGAAAACATTCTGTTGCCTTTTCAGCAGATCTGAGTGTTGGGGTAAATTCTCAAATAATAGTGGTGGATCTGGTGTCAAAATATTGAATGTGATCAAAGTAGAGAGAGAGAGTAATGTGGAAATCATCTGCCCCACAGGTAGGGGGAGGGTGTGGGATGGGGGTATACTGGGGTTGTTGGGGGTGAAGAATGGGCACTGGTGAAGGTACGGGTGTTTCACTGTATGACCAAGACTTAGACCCAAAAGCTGTGTAACTACTCTCATGGTGATTCAATAAATAAAATTATAAAAAATGAAAAAAAAAACAATGGTCAAAGTGATTAAAATGCTAATGTATTCTACAATAACACTAATAGCACCAAAAGTTAATGCTTTTTCCTAATTTTAAAAAGAAATCATTTTCAATAATAGCAAGAAGTTTTCTTTGAAAAGCCTTAGGTAAAAAAAACAAAACAGTAGGCCTCTTCTAATCAGAACTGCAAAGGCTAGAAGGAGGATAAAAGTGTGTGTGTGTGTGTGTGTGTGTGTGTGTGTGTGTGTGTGCGCGCGCGCGCACGCGCGCGCTGCAGCACTATGCTTGCCTTTTAATTCTAACTCACAGAGAGCAATAATTCACTTTTACTTTCTTTAAAAACAATGTGATTTTTTTCATTTCATTGATGAACACAGACAAATCTGGTTAAACTGGACAAATATAATAATCATTTTTTTAAAAGTTATATGAGGCCAGGGCGGTAGCTCAGTTAAAAGATACTTTCTTCCAACTGTGAGGCCCTGGGCTAGATTTTTCAATGCTGAACAATGGAGCTCTGTCTGAGCAAGCACTGCCAGTGGTCAAGAAACCAAGAAAGTAGGGGCTGAGACCAAGGAGTGTCTGTCCCTAAGAAACAAACCAAAAAATCAATTAAAGGAATAATTTAAAACATGTTAAAACCAAAGCAAAGACTTTTTCATTACTTAATAAGAAAGGATTCATTACAATAAGACCATTAGAATTTTTTAAATAAAAAAATACCACATATAGAGGAAACGAGAAGTGATGTTATGAAAATAGTTAAGTCCCATGTAACAATTGAGGTGTGAACTGAGTTCAGAAACCTTAACTGAGTTCACAAAAGCAAGTCAGCTGATCTGGCTATCAAAGAGGATTTAATAATAAACAAGTGTAACACTGTCCTATTGTTCACTGATCTGCTTGAGCGGGCACCAGTAACGGCTCCATTGTGAGACTTGTTACTGTGTTTGGCATATCGAATATGCCATGGGGAGCTTGCCAGGCTCTGCCATGTGGGCGGGATACTCTCAGTAGCTTGCCAGGCTCTCCGAGAGGGAAATAAACAGTTATTAATCTCAAATATAGATTTTATTTAAATAGGCTAATACCTAAGACCTATGTTAGTACAAAGTAAGGTTCGGCAGAGCCCTGACATCCCAAGTCTAATAAACATCCCTACCCCAGTATTGCACACAATTTGAGGGATTTTGCAATTTTCATTACCTCAAGAGAAAAGGAATTTACAGCAGTGAAGTCAGAGTAAGAACTGAAGAACAGTAAAAAGGTTTCTTTATACCTTAAACAATAGAATATATCATATAAAAATACTTGTATTAAAAAGTCCCAAAATTGTTTTATATTTGTGCTGCCATAGGAAAGGTGGTTTTTTTTTAATTTTTATTTGTGAAACACCATGAGGTACAGTTATAGACTTATAAACTTTTGTGTTTGGGTTTCAGTTATACAATGATTGAGTACCCATCCCTCCACCAGTGCCCATTCTCCATCACCACTGATCCCAGTATCCCTCCCACCCACCATCCTCCCCCCCCCCCCCCCCCCCGTGGGAGGGCATTCCCTTTTGTTCTCTCTCTGGAAAGGTGGTTTTTAAAGTGCCTCAGATGTAGCATAACATACGGACCACTTCTGATTCAAATGGCTCAGAGGGCTGGCGGGCTTTTTGAGGGTGGCACTGATTCCTCCCTCCCCGCCCCCCACCAGGTATGATGGACCCTGCCCCAATCCAAAAGATCCTGAGGGATTTTGCCACACACAGGAGTCACTGAACGCACACACTACCACCACAAAGGTCCACAGGGAGCAGGCAAGCAGACAAGGATCGGCTCAGTCCTCACGGCACTGGCTGGGCTTGTGTGTACCAACTATGCAGAAGTCCAAGCAACTGATAGCCCACCTGTGCCATCTGGCTGGGAGGCACAGAGTGGGCTCCAGGAGTGAGAACAAGCCCATCTCCAACCTTCTCCACATACACGTTATAGAGGGATTGTGAGGACCTCGCCAACTGCTCTTTGCTCTAGATTAGTAGTAAGAAAGGTCAAGGCTTCTCTAGACCCTCTAGGAAAACTGCCAGAGGACTACACCAGTGAAAGAGAAAGAGCTCAAGGCCATCACTGGGACAACAGCCTTGAAAGAAGGGCACCAGTCCCAGACCTTACCAACTGCCTCTCCCACTCGGTCAGCTTTCAGTTTAATGATCAAAATGGGAAGCGAAGAAATGAATCTCTATGGCCATCTGGAACCATGATCATCGATCACTTTCTGCTATGTGACTTCTAGGCAATGCAATACGGAAACTGAGCACTATGATTTACTGGTTAAGCCAAATGACCACTCAATCACTGATTTAGAACTATCTACGTGTTTCCGGGAGAGGAAAAACACACCATCAATCTAATAAGGAGCCATTGAGATAACCACAATATACAATCAACCAAAACGGCAATATAGTATTTTTTAAACACATCAGAAAATTCCTACCAAACTGTATTTGACAAGGAGATAAATCTCTCTATTACAGGCTGGAGCAATAGCACAGTGTCATGGTGTTAGCCTTGCACAGGACCGACCCACGTTCGATTCCTCCATCCCTCTCAGAGAGCCCGGCAAGCTACTGAGAGTATCCTGCCCGCACAGCAGAGCCTAGCAAGCTACCCATGATGCATTTGATATGCAAAACACAGGAACAACAAGTCTCACAATGGAGACGTTACTGGGTCCACTAGAGCAGATCGCTGAACAATGGGAGGACAGTGCTATAGTGCTACACTATGGTAAAACAATAAAGCAATATTAAGAACAAGACAATGCTCTAGTACTCAAAGGTAAAGGCAAAGCAAATAATCTTTTAAAAGTACAGGCTGGAGCGCCATTACAACATGTAGGGTGCTTTCCCCTGCACACAGTCAACCTGGGTTCAATCCCCAGCACCCTATAGGGTCCCCCAAGTACCTCTAGAAGTGATCCCTGACCACAGTTAGGAGTCCTGAGCACAAACAAGCAAATCAAAACAAAAATAGCAAATTTATGATTATGTTACAGGATGATACAAGACGTGTTTTTTTAATTCCCTGACATTAAGGATGAAAACATTAAAAATGAGATTTCATTCCTAATTTATCAAATGTAGTAAACATTTAGGATTAAGGGGCAAAGAATAAGAACATGAATCTGAGGTTACACTCCTTAAATTGATGAGGGAGGTGAGTGACTGCAGGGAAATACACCAAGCCTGTTCTACTTTGTGATTTATAAGTAAGTGGGACTATTATACTTCCTCACAGAGATCCTGTGAGGTTTGAAAGATACAAAATATGTATCTATGTGGCAGTTACCTACCTACTCACTAACCTACCGACATCTCTGAAGAAAACTGAAACCCAGAATTTGCTTCTCCTCAGACACCAGGCATTTTCTGATTTGTTTTCAAGTCCAGACACATTTATTTACCAATATAATTTACAGGACTATGTGAAGTGGGGAATACACAAGTAAACTGAACCTTGTCCCTTCTTCCAGAAAATGAAGACTGCCGGGTATTCCTAATGTTTCTCTCGCTGACTCATTGGAGTATTTCGTTCCTGCGTGAAAGAGGTGGTGTGCCATGTCAAGGACGGAAGATGCAAGGCTGTCCCATGAGTAAGACGGTAACAGGAGAACCAACCTAGGAGGCCTAGAGTGTCTCTGCAGTAGAGTTCCTCTCCTGCAGGCCTAGAGTGTCTCTGCAGTAGAGTTCCTCTCCTGCGAGCAGGAGGCTGTGGATTTAAATCCCAGAATGACCCACATAGGCTGAGGCTGAGTTCCTTCAGCTCTGGTACCGCCAACAGGATATGCCGTATCTTGGGCACAATCCAGGTACACGGAACAGCTAGCTAAAAACACATAGAAGTGGTGCTTGTACATCACTTTGCTCTGGTGCTCATAAGTAAGAACGTGAGCCCCAGAGCAAAGCCCAGCAAGCCAACAGTGCAAGCAGCACATGTGCAAACACCGCCTCTGAAGCTGGTGGGCTGCCTCCACCAGAGCCCATATCCACTAGAGTACACATGCTGAAATACCACTACCAGATGTGCAACCCTAGTGAGCATCACCACCAAGAGCGTGTACAATCCTCAGCTCTCATAATAACGAAGAAAAGGGGGGGGGGGGGGGGGAGGAGGAGTAAAAATAAAAGAGACCCAACCTTAGATGAATTTTCAAGTATACATACTCCTAGTTCTGCTAAATGTACACAGAAGGACACTTGATTGCTAAGATGGAATTTTGTTCCACCTAAGGAAATCAAAGTCTTAAAAATTCTTAAAGTCACTACTCAAACTTAGAAACCAAAAAATAAATAAATAAATAAATAAAAGAGGTTAAAATTACTACACTGTGGAAAGTCTCTTGCACTAACCTCTTAGGCAATGAAAAGGTAGAGAATTGTGTCTTATGCAGTACACTGCCCAGCAAAATACCTGACATTGGAAAAACTTCTATAAATGAATACCCAATGACTCAAGAAATAGGTGGAGCACAGCTTTGAACCAATTTACAGACTGACATGACATACCGAAGAAAACTAGAAATGCATTAAATTTTGAACCTGCTCATCTCCCAAACTTCATAATTTCTTTCATGACAAAGTCAGGGAAAACTAATTAAAGAAACAAACACAACAATGTGAAGAATTTGAATTTTTTACAAACCTTTCCTGCTGCCTGTCGATCACTTTTAAAAATTACAGTCTCCTCATTAACTGGAGGAAGGTTAGTCTTAGATTCAATTATTACTGAAAAACAAAACAAAATGTTATTTCAAGATTTAATCATCACAAGAATTTTAATAATAATTTGGGTTGTAATCACAACAATTTAAAACTTAAGGTAAAATAATATACATCGAATACTTTTCCCCCTGGATAAACAAAGTCTACTCATTACCAAGCAGTGTAAGAATTCTTTCTGTTTATTTTGGGGCCACACTCAGCAGTGGTTGGGGAGCACTCCAGGTTTTGTGCTTGGGGAATGCTTGAAGAGTGCTCAGGGGAATCATGTGATGTTAGGAACCAAACACAGGCCTCCTGCACGCAAACCATACCATCAACCCACTGTGCTCTCTGAACCCAAATTCTACATTTTCTTATAAAATGCTGTAATTCAATGAAAGAAACTTTTATGGATAACATCTCACAGAAAATATTTTAAATCACTCATTAAGAATTCATCAATAAGTTCATGCTACGTACATTTTGTCAAGTAATTCTTACTGCCAAAAATGCATAATCACAGTCACAAAATTACCAACCTAGAAATGTTTTTAGTCTAGAAATTCTTTTCTATGGAGCACTGATTATTTTCTCAAAGTTAATGCTAGCAAAGCATCTCTTCCGAAATAAAGACTAGAATTCATTTTAATTTTTATCACTTCCCTCCCCAAAAGATAGTACAGCATAGTGTCTAACCTCTTTTATTGTGATACCAATAGGAAACAACCAATCTACCACAACAAAGAAGGAAAATTTTGTAAAAATAGGTCCTTTGAAAATTAGAACACAAAACAGGACTATTTAGTCATATTACACAGACACCATGCCCATTTATGAAGTACACTAGATATCATTATCAAACTGATTTAAAAAATTAATTATATGGCAAGTAATTTTATTAATGAGTGCTCTAAATTTTGTATAAACATATACTGAGTACTGATAAACCTTTTGGGGAGGGGGATAGATGAATAAGAGACTGGTAACGATAGTGAGAAGTTAAAGAACTAATTCTCTATCGTCAAATTACATGAAAATTTAAATATCACCTAACATAGTATACTCAGTAGTATAAAGAGTTTCATACTAGCATATGGTGAATTCCAGACAGAGCTATCATCAAGAACAAGATCCCTGCTCCCATGTTTCCGGTAACAACGCAACTATTGCCTTTGCCCACAACCTGAAAGTGAGATTCTTTTATGATTTAATTCGAGGTGGCAGACATTTTGGGGAGTTTGGTAAACATCTGTACCACACACTGATTCAAAGAAACAAAATTACAAAAAGCTTTGATAGCACAGTGGTAGGGCGTCTGCCGGCACACAGCCAACATGGCCAACCCGAGTTCGATTCCTCCGCCCCTCTCAAAGAGCCCGGCAAGCTACGGAGAGTATCTCGCCCGCACGGCAGAGCCTGGCAAGCTCCCCGTGACGTATTCGATATGCCAGACACAGTAACAACAAAGTCTCCAATGGAGACGTTACTGGGCCCGCTTGAGCAAATCGATAATCAACGGGAGGACCGTGGTTCCGTGGTTCCATGACTATTCTGGAGCATACGCTGCCCAGCCCATGGCTGCCTGTGCCCAGGACTCATGTCACCCGCATCTCTCCACTTGAGAAGGACTCATGCCTTCATACTTTATCCCGGGATGTGCACTGGGGCGCTCTCCCCTCCCCCCTCCCCTCCCTTCCCCTCCCCTCCCCTCCCCTCCTCTCGGAGAAGCCCACAGTCTCTCTGGAGCACTGTGTCTCTCTATCTCCACCCCCACATCAAAAATTCTGGATAAAATCTGTTATACTTCAAAAGAAAAAAAAACCTTTACAAATAAAAGCCTTAATATTCTGAAATATTGTGTATATCCTGCAAATACGATATTTCACTGGACAGTATCTAGCAAGTCTCTTATATCCTCTGAATTTAAAAGAAAATGAAAACAGAGCACTTCTAAAAGAATCTCAGAATGTAAAATAGCTAAAGATCTTTTCACCTTTGGGTTCCTATTTGAAATCTCAGGACTGTTTCTGCCCAATGCACTATGCTTCTTGTATTTTCATTTTTTGCAATTTGGTCCAAACATCACTAGATTAAATTTTAGGTTTTCTAAACAGAATAGCCTGCAATAGTAGTATGCACTTATTTTGGTTCATTAAATTTCACCAGTTTGAGAATTTTGTTACTCTGTTAGGATAAAAGTAAGTAAAGTAAAGGCCCTCCCATTGATCATCGATTTGCTCAAGTGGGCCCAGTAACGTCTCCATTGGAGACTTTGTTGCTACTGTGTTTGGCATATCGAATACGTCACGGGGAGCTTGCCAGGCTCTGCCGTGCGGGCGAGGTCCTCTCGGTAGCTTGCCGGGCTCTCCGAGAGGGGCGGAGGAATCGAACTCGGGTCGGCCATGTTGGCTGCGTGCAAGGCAAACGCCCTACCGCTGTGCTATCGCTCCAGCCCAAAGCGGACGGCGGGAGAGTAGTCTGAATTGGGTTATGAGGCCCCCTCCGGGGTGCCTCACCGTAGCCATTGAACTCACTTCGCTGGCCGTGAGTCTGTTCCAAGCTCCGGCTAAGGAGGCATCCGCTAGGACTCCTTCCCTTGGGGAGAGGGGATCCATAGCATCTCCTGCCCAGTCTGCCCTCGCCAGAGGCCCATTCTCTGGGAACTCACCTCCCCGAACTCGGGGAGGGCCCTGTTAGGGCTGCTAATGGCCCTAGTCTCAGACCTTCCCAAGGGACATGGGATAGAGTGACGAGATGCACTCCGCGTGTAGCCCCACTGATGAGCTTCTCTCCGCCCTACTCTGTTAGGATATCCATCACAAAAAGCATTTTTAAAAAGTTATTCCACAAGTATTATATACTAGTTTTTTTTTTCCCCCCTTAAGTACAAGTACAAGCTGGAGTGATAGCACAGCAGTTAGGGAGTTTGCCTTGCATGCGGCCGACCAAGGTTTGATTCCTCCGTCTTGGAGAGCCTGGCAAGCTACTGAGAATATCACGACTGCACAGCACAATATGCCAAAAACAGTAACAAGTCTCACAATGGAGACTTACTGGTGCCCGCTCGAGCAAATCAATGAACAACAGAGGACAGTGCTACAGTGCTAAGTACAAGTAGAACCTAAATATACGAATCAAAACTAAAAAATGGCAAATCCATGCTATATAATCAGCAATAATCTGTTTGTTTATGCATATACACAGTAACTCAAAAATGTGTAATGATTAGTGAATCATCAAGCTTTAATAATTATGACTTTTGCAAAAAATTTCAGTTTAATTGGAATTTTCATCAACAAACCACGAAAGTACAAAGCTATGTATCTTTTAAAATATTATCATGGGTACTATTAGAAAAGGTCAAAAAAAACACATTTCTTTTTCTGAGTTGTTTATTGTCCATGCTTAATATTACACATCTCTGATGTCATAATTAAAATTATACAAATTTCTACTTCATGCTTATAAACAAATGAAAACCAAAGGTGTCCGGCAGAGAAATACTCCCCACCACCCTCCAAAGAGAATGTTTACATCCTAATCCCTAAATTACAAAGAAAAATGCTGAGCACATGTGATTAAGGATCTTGCATTAAGGAGAATATCATGCGTTTATGTATACAAGCAGGTCTAACCTAAGAAATGCAGAGACCTTAAAGCTGCCATCAGAAAGAGATGTGGTGGCAGAAAAATAATCCAAGAGAGACAAGAGAGACTACTTCCTCAGCTGAAGAGGAAAGGACAGAAATGAGAAACTGAGAGGGTTCGGAAGGGGGAGGGGGAAGAAAGGGAAGGGAAAAGGAGAAGGGGAGGGGGAGGGGAAAAGAAAGGGGGAGGGAAAGGGGAAGGAGAAGGGGACAGAGAAGGCAAAAGGATGGAGAAGGGCAAAGATAAAAAAGGGAAGGGAAAAGAAGGGGAGGAGGAGGGGAGAAAGAAGTAGGGGAACTAGTGAAGGGGGACTGGGAAGAAGAGAAAGGGGAAAAAGGGAAAGAGAAAAAAGAGGGAAAGGGGGGAAGGGAAAGGAGAGGAAAAGGGAAGAACAAGGGGGATAAGAGAAGGAGAAGGGGGAAGAGGAAAGAGGAGAAGAGAAAGGGGGAGTGGAAGGGGAAGGAAGGCAAAGGGAGAAGGAAGGGAGGAGGGGAAAGAAAATGGGGAAGAACTGTTGACAAGGGGAACTTGGGACACTGCTAGAGAGACTCTGGTGACGGGCCTGGTGCTGGAATGATGAGACCATGAATGGAATGAGCAACAGTACTGTAAATCCCGTTACCTCAATGAAAATGATTTTTTAAAAATACGGTCCTGATGTAACACTGATTTTAGCCCAGCGAGGCCCACATCAGAACTCTGGCCCACAGAATTATAAAATAAAGTTGTTGTTTTTTTTTTTCTGAGGCACAGTTGAGCAGTGCTCAGAGAATCATGCGTCAGGAGCCAAGCCAGGCCGCTGGCACACAAACCATGCCCTCAGTCCGCTGACCTACCGCTCCAGCCCAATCTGAATCATTTTATTAATTTGTAATTATTTATTTCACTAAATAGTAATTTTAACAGTAAAAGAAAATGAAAATATCAAATAAAGAAGATTCTGGAAAACATTCAGTTGAAACGCTTCACATTTTTGTTGATCCAATATATTTGATTGATTAAATAGGTAAAAACTTTATTTATATGTTCAATGTTCATAACTGTAAGTCAAGTTTACTATGGACTAAATTATATCACAGAAAATGTACTAGTCTTACTAAATCTGATTCCATTATCAATGCATGTTTGGATATGAAAGCTAATTTTTATTAAATTTTTTACATACCTAATTGTTCGATAATACTTGAAACCGTCCCAAGAGGCTGTAATTCAATGTCTTCAGGCAGTATAATAGTGAGCTCTTCAACAGAAGGTAGTTCCTGAAACATAAAATAGGATTATCTCCCAGCTAGTAAGTAGACTATACACCTCCAAAGGGCTGGAGCTATAGCACAGAGGTAGGACGTTTGCCTTTTGCACAGCCGGCCCGGCCGAGCTGGGTTCAATTCTTCTGCTCCTCTCAAAGAGCCCGGCAAGCTGCCAAGGGTATCTTGCCCACAGAGCAAAGCCTGGCAACCTCCCCATGACATATTCAATATGCATAAACAGTAACAAGTCTCACAATTTGTTGTGAAAAGTTACTGGTGCCCGCTCGAGCAAAGCGATGAACAAAGGGAGGACAGTGCTACAGTGATATTCTTCCTCTAGCTTCAACGACTTAATCTCAAATTAACTAAACAGTTAGGTACCATTCTAGATTTTTCTAACCACATTTGAACAAGACACACTCTACACTTAAGGAATGCAAGGTAAAAAGAAACTTCATATAACAGCTTCCAGAGACATTTCATACAAAGAGAAACAAATCTACCATGACTTGTCCACAGAAGAGGGTTGAGCAGTCTGGATTTTATTCATCAAATAACTGTGATCAGGTAACTGAATGAAGAAGCAGCACTCCTCTAGAACTGTGTTGAAAACGAGATGTCTCACAAAAAATCTAGAAAAAATTTTTCTCTTCAGGAAAAATGAGAAAATTCCTGAAAAGAGTTCATTGGTTTCTGTCCAGAAAAACTATAAAGGCATTACCTGGGTATCTTTCTTCTCCAGGCTAAAAACTAAATTTGTTTCTTTTTGTAATTAGAGAATCACCGGTGAGGTACAGTTACAAACTTGTGAACTTTCATGTTTGCATTACAGTCATACAATGATCCATTACCCATCCCTCCACCAGTGCCCATTCTCCCCTGCCAATGTTCCCAGCATCCCTCCCACCAGCCCCAAATCATCCCCCACCACCCAACCCCGACTAAGTGGCAGAGCATTCCCTTTTATTCTCTCTCCTTTTGGGTGTTGTAGTTTGCAATAGAGGTACTGAGTGGCCATAGTGTCCGGTCTATAATCTACTTTCTACACGCATCTTTCAACCAGAATGGATCCTGCCAATATCCTTTACTTGGTGTTCCCTTCTCTATCTGAGCTGCCTTTTCCCCCAGCATGGGAGGCCAGCTTCCAAGCCATGGAGCAGACCTCCTGGTCCGTATCTCTACTGCTCTTGGGTGTTAGTCTCCCATTCCGTTACTTTATATTCCACAGATGACTGCAATCTTTCTATGCCAGTCCCTCTCTTTCTGACTCATTTCACTTAACATGATACTTTCCATGTTGATCCACTTATATGCAAAGGTCATGATTTCATGTTTTCTAAGAGCTGCATAGTATTCCACCGTGTAGATGTACCAAAGATTCTTTATCCAGTCATCTATTCTCAGGCTCTAGGGTTTTTTTCCAGATTTTGGCTATTGTGACAGTGCAGCAATAAACATACAAATGCAGATGTCATTTCTACTATACTTTAAAAACTAAATTTCTTGGGGCCAGAAAGATTAGCTCTAAGGGTGGAGTAGTGTGCAGGTTCCCAGAGTTCAATCCTCATGCCTCCCCCTCACCCCCCTCCAACACACACACAACACACACATACACACAAACACAGGTATTGGGGCTGGACTGAGCTGTCAGGGTGAGCCCATGTAGACTGCACCACACAACGTGAAGGAACGAACATAGAGACCCATGAAAATGGGCAAGATTTCTCACGTGTCCTGACTAGTTTGGATGAGGCTAAACATTTTCCCTCTTAAAACCACCGTCAGTCATAGAAAGATTGCATTCATCTGGGGAACATAAAGTAATAAAATAGGACTAACACCCAAGAATAGCCGAGATTAAGTACCAGGAGGACTACTCCATGGCTTTGAGGCCAGCCACACATGCTAGAGGAAAAGGCAGCTCAGATAGAGAAGGGAACACCAAATAAAGGGTGTTGGGAGGTTCCTCTCAGGATAGGAGATGTGTGATGAGAGTAGACTATAGATAGACCATGATTGTTACTCAATGTCTCTTTTGCAAACCACATTCAAAAGGAGAGAGAGAACAAAAGGGAATGCCCTGCCACAGAGGTAGGGTGGGATGGGGGAGGGATGGAGGGATGGGGGGATGGGGGGATGGGGATGGGAGGGATACTGGGATCAGTGGTGGTGGAGAATGGGCACTGGTGGAGGGATGAGTATTCAATCATTGTATAACTGAAACCCAAGCAAAAAAATTTGTAAGTCTACAACTGTACCTCATGGTGTTTCACTAATAAAAATTTAAGGAAAAAAATAAAAATAAAATTATAAAAAATAATAAAAAAAAAAAACTGCTGTCAGTAAATAATTTCAGTATATTATAAGGGGCAGTTTTCCTTTTCTCACAGAAATCTGGCTGATCTTTGACATGTAGATCTCAGGTGCTAGCCAGGCCTGATCTTTGGGATGTAGATTCCAGGCTCTAGCCAGACTAGTCTTTGGGATGCAAATCTAAATACTTGTAGCCCAAGAAAGGTTTCAGTTTGGTTTTGTATCTTCTTTCTGGAGGCCAAAATTACTGGCCTGTAGATGCAAGGTAACAATGTATGTTTTGCTGCCTCAATATTCTTTCTGTAATTTCTTTTGATGATGTCATTGATCAATAAAAGGAGATGGGGGGTGGGGGCCTCTCTCTACCTTTGTCACAGGTCTGAGAGAACCTGGGCCCTCCATGAAATAAATTTCTTTCCTGTTCCTTGTCTCAGCGCCTCCAATTGAAAGAATATTCATGAAACACACAGGTGCAACTACCTCCCTTGGCTCCCCACCCCACCCCAAGGCCCAGGCAGCTCATCACTAGGCCTGAATCATCAGTCACCCTGCTGCTAGGCTGAGTACAGCCGGAAATGTCCCCAGGATTCCAGCATCATGAAGAAAGCCCTAAGAATATCACTGGAATAAGGCTTTACCTTAAGCAAAACTTCAGTAATAGTCTTTTGTAAAAGATCCCAATTAACTTTAGAAGGAAGTTTTAACTTAAGAAGGCTTCTGAATGCAAAGATCCTACTGATGGGGTGTTACAGTCATCAGTGAAGGAGAACTTGTGAAGAGGTTTTGGAATATATGGGAAAACCTCAATAATATATGTACTGCAGATGAGAATGTCGTAGGCAATAATGTTCTTCCTTGAAGTGTAACTTGCTTCCAGGAGATACTAATTTTAATCAAGGATAATTTATGAAGAATACCACTAACAGTTTCAACCAGCTCAATGCAGAAGAGTTAGCCTGAATGGTAGTGGAGGAAATGAGTTTTCCTTATGTCAAAATTTTTCTGAGTACTTTGAGGAAAAGACAATCACTTCATTTTATCACTTTAAATGGAAGGTCTTCTCTTAGACCATGGTTTAAAAGTGGTCCAGGTGTGAATCAGAATAAAGTTGTTAGAACAAACTGGTGAAGAACAAGGTATAGTACTGTTTAAGTCCATAACTCTATATATAGATGTACATTCAAAAAATAGGAATAGAAGTACCATATGATCCAGCAATATCACTTCTTAGCATCTACCCCAAAAACACAAAACATTAATTTGAAAGGATATAAGCACACCTATGCTCACTACTGCACTTAGCACAACAGTCAAGACATGGAAAACAATCCAAATGCCCAACACAGAGAGGAAAGGATCAAGTAGTTGTCATGTATATAAGCACAACAGAATACTATGCAGCTCTGAGAACAAAATCAAGTAACTTGAAGCAACATGGATGGAACTAGAGGATATCATGCTGAGTGCAATTAGTCTGAAAGAATGGAATAGAAACAAAACTGTCTTTATCATATACAGAACTTAACAAAGCAACATAACTGAAGAAGGATCCACTGATCCATAAATTGAGGAGGGTTTTTTGCGGGAAAGGGAAAGAATAGGAGGAGGACTAGAATCCTTGGGGGAGCAAGGTGGGCACATTGGTGATGGGTGTGGTATCGAAATTGTGTGCATTGAGAAGTAACCATTAAGAATACTGCGAATCACAGAATCTCATTTAAAAAAAAATCTCAAGTTCTACAGAAATCTCACCCAATAATAAAGACAGAGAGGCCTTAGTATCTTAGACAGGCCTTAGTATCCTAGAGGACAATTTTGATATAGTCCTCAAACTGACTTTGGTGGCAAGTGGCATTTTTTCTGTTCCCCTAATTAAATTTTGGTAAGATCTAGAGGGAAAATTTAAATTATTTTCAGACTGTGATAAATCCCACTCATAAATAAAGTAAAAAATATAGGGGTAGAAAAGGAAAAGAAAGTCTCCACAAATGAAATCACTTCTAAGGGCCAAAGTAATAATACAGCAGGTAAGGCATACGTCCTGCACACAGCTGACCTAGGTCCAATCTCTGGTACCATATGGTCTCCGAGCCTGTCAGAAAAAACTCCTGAATGGAGCGCCAGGATTAACCCCTAAGCACCACCAGGTGTGACCAAAAACTAAAACAAAATAACAACCAATAAATAAATAAATAAATAAATAAATCACTCCTAAAGTTTTTGTTTTCCTTTTTATAAAAACTTTTGAACTCACTGGGCTTTCTTTTTATGAAAGAAAATCTCTGATGGAAAAAAAACTCACGCTGCTTACTCATGGTATGTACAGACACAAAATCGAACTCTCAAATAAATGCCATTAAGTCACAAAGGTAAAAGGCTCAACGCATTAAGAGAAATATAGGCCAGCAATTATGTCTCATACTAATCTAAACTTTTTTTAAGTATGAAAGTGATACATGTTGCTTTTTTCAAAGGGAAAGAGATCAAGCAGTACTGCATACAAAACAAAAAAAAAAAAAACCTTATTCTATTCCTGTTTCACAACTCCATTCAAGCTGTTATTAGTAACTCTTGTTAATAATCTATCTCCCAAAGATATTTGCAAAGTATGTACTATGCCAAATTTCACATTTCACTTAAAATATCTACTTTGTAGTGTAAACATTCTTTTTGTGTTTTTTTCTGTCTCTTATACATCT